TGGATGAAATGCTATCTTTGCCTCTTTATCCACTTGTTCTTTTTCAACCTTGGGTTTACTATTTTTAGCCGCTAGACCAAATTTGTCTCCAAAATTAAGCCAAACTGCTCACTAATTAACTAGAATGTCCTTGAAAGGTAACTTTTATGTGGCAATATTCAGACTTCTGAAGAAATAAAAGTTTAGAAGCAAAACGTGGATAGTTGGCAAGACTTAAAACTTCAACACTTTCACTTTCAGCTACTTGAGAATATTACATAAATAGTTTTATATAAAGAATAATAATCTTGATTGAAAGTATTTGAAGTTTGAGTACTTTTATTAAAAAAACTCTGCTTCATTTTTGTGCGATTGAACATAATCCATATAAAGGTATAATTATGTAGTCATCATTACTGTAATAAAATGTAATAATATATTATTATTATGTTACTTGTGGAGATGTGCTACCGTATTTGCCTACATAATTGAATTCACTGCACTTCAAAGCAACTTGTTTTCGTTAATCGCTTTAAGATGTTCTAATGTGAAGTATTGAATGCTAGTATTATTTTATTTGATGAACTATTAAGTACTAAGTATTGTTTGTTATCGATGGGAGGAGGAGGGGGAGGATTTGAATTTGAATCTAATCCAATCCAGATGGATTGAAGTACTTTCTGTGTCAGTTATATAACTGAGTCCGTACATTCACTCTCCCCTGCGCAGCTCAAGGATGCTCATCAGAGCTCCCTGGAGAGTTCTGATAACTCGTTCAGTTGGAAGGAGCGAGGAATTTCATATGCAACTCTAGCTGATGTTTTGAATGTCTTTTCAACAGATTGCGATCCTCAGTTTTTACAGTACTGATTTGCCATTTATGTGTGTATATATATATATGTGAGTGAAATCGTCCAGTGCCTTGGGATGTCTTCCCGACGTGAAAGGCGCTATAAAATATAATTTTGTTGTTGTTGAAATAGCCTACTTTTTTATAATGAGAATTTACTTCTACACCAAAGTCTTATTAAGTATATTTTATTTCATCTGCATCATTGCGTCATTCCCCTCTCCCCCTTCAGCTACTAAAATGGCGTGTTTGAGTGCCCATGTCCTTCACTATGAGGATGATTCTAAAATAAACAAGTGCTTGAAAATGTGCATCTCTCCAGTTGCACTATTAAATATGACAAATGTATTGTTGACACTCACACAAAATTGACTTGTGGGTTGGACATTGATGTTATCCTGGTTAATTCAGGCCACTGTGTGTTTATATTTCACATTTCATGACTTTGTATTTCAAGGACAAAGTTTAAAAAAAAAATTTTTTTGAAGAGACTTTTATCTGCAGTAAGTCGGTGGCTTCTTGGGTTGAAATCACATGTTCTGTGGTACAAAGCGGCTCATTGTCTGCATTCTCCGCATCATGGTAAAAATAGGGATTATTTTATACGGCAAGAATAATTGATTTTCCAGGTATTGTATTCGGATGGGTGTGGTGCTGGACCGGTTCTTTCAATGTCAGCCTTTTTTAAAATATGTTATATGATATTTTACCTCGGGGTACATCTCTGAATTGCCTTATTATGAAATGTCTACGTTTGATTAACAGTGGCACATAACTTCTATTTCTTGGTCTCCAGTTTCATTGGCAGAAATCCACATTGCTTTCGTTTAGCAAGCTGTACCACAGCTAAGTACTCAGTCTCTAAGATCTTTTATTGTTTCACTGATCCGCCATAAAGTACAGACTTTTCTGCCATCATTTTCTGGCTGCTTAATTGCAACGAGGAGTCCTGTAGCTTAGTGGTTAGAGCACTCGTCTTGCAAGCGGAAGGACCCGGGTTCGATTCCCGGGCCGGGCGAAACGTTAGGCAAGTTTCCTTAATCCACATGACTCTGTTTACAGTAAATAGGATTGGGTTGTTAGTCGATTGGCGGATTGCTTTTCTGGGGGTAATAATCCCTTCAAAACAATAAAAATATAATAATCTACTCACTCAGCCCACGACTGTTTGTGGGGACGCTGCTGTGCGCAATTGGCTGCTGCGTTTCGCCCACAAAATATAGTCAATTCACTTTACAGTGTATTCTGTGAAGCGCTTTGAGACATCTCGCAGACGTGATAAGCTTTATGTCTTCCTACGGCAAACAAAACAGGAAAGAGACATGCACTCCCAGGATAATTCCCCCAATTCCATCTCTCACACAACACAACAGTTCCTGCCCCACCCTCTACCCCGCGGCAAAAACAAACAGAACCAAAAAAAGAATAGCCAATCCTGGGAAAAGAAGTTACTCTGGAAAATTCCCAAAGGCAATCAAACTAATGAATCTGCAGAGGGGGGCTGTGTGAGTCCATGTCAACACAAGAGGCTTTCTAATTATTATTAATAATAATAGTCCTTGCATTTGATGCAGTGCCTTATCACGTCACTGAGACGTCTCAAAGCGCTTCACAGGATATACTGCAAAGTGAATTGACTGTGTATTTTGTGGCAAAACACGGCAGCCAATTGTGCACAGCAGCGTCCCCACAAATAGTCATGGATTGAAGTGACCAAATTATTATTATTATTATTTTTTCTGGAGGCATTATCACCACCAAGAAAAAAGATTGACTAACAGCCAGATTCCGACTTACTGCTCGGTGAACAGGTGTGTGGAGCAAGAACATTTGCCTCAGGTTTTGCCCTGCCCGAGAATCGAATCCAGATCCTCTCGCTTTCGAGGCCAGTGCTCTCACCACTAAGCTACAGGACTCTTAATTGAGCGTAGACCCTACCACATCACTAGCTGTCTGCACTGACATGTTATTGTTCCCTACTAAATCTGTCTGGACTCCTCCTGAGCAGGTGACTACTGTTTGCATACTCAGTATGATTTGAGAGGCCAAAACCTTTTAGCATTATGTGTATAAATGGTATAATCAAAACAAGGAGGCTCATTTCTTCTATTGTCAATCCCGCCATTTGTCAATTGCTTTCCTCAAATGTGATAAAATATGTATGAACATACTGGTGCATTATCATCATTAATTTAGTCTGTCCCCAGGGTTTCAATATTGAATAAGTAAACAGTTGCAATAATATTTAGTGCTGGTAATTCAATTGTATGTGACATTTAGGTTCATAGAGTCTATGAAACGTACAAATTTGTGTGTTATTGAATCCCACCTCGTGTCCACTCTGTATTCTGGTTCATGAAGTGGATTGATTTGCAGATACAATAAGTCTTTTATAATTATTTGCTTCAGACTGAAAGGTGTAACAGTGCCAACACCAGTATCGAACGTCTCTACATGATTCTGGAAGTTTCTGATAACTGTACTGACTTTTGCATTTTGTGTGTGGCAATGTCCCACAAACAGCCATGAAGTGAATGGCCAATTTTATCCAGAGAAGACCCCCGGAAAAATTCCCTTGTCTTTTCAAATACAGTCGCGCCATTGGATCTTTAACCTCCATTTGGACAAGCACACAGGACCTCGGTTTAATATCTCATCTGAGGAACATCACCACTGACATTTGAGTGCTTCCCCACTTCTATCATTTCTATTATCTTAGTAATTATACTATTTGTCTTTGCAATTACTTGCCCAAAGCAGAGAATAGCTGACTGTGTTAATATTCATGAGTCAGTTTAAGAAATTCCAATTCCAAATCTCTTGTAATCAAACATTGAAAGCAAGACGGTTTGTGTTGATATTTTAATAATACATATTACTATCCTCAAGAGAAATATCAACCGTGTTCAGTCTGAATTGACTCGATTTACTCTGAGAAATATTTGTAATAGATCTTCCCAGGTCCCCAAAGATAATCAAGTCAAATATCCAGAATATTCACCCATCCCCACATCTACACTAATAATAAATAATAATCCTTGCATTTTACATAGCGCCTTATCATGTCTTCAAGATGTCTTAAAGCACTTCATAAAATATTCTGTAAAGTGAACCGACTGTAAATTTTGTGGGCGAAATGCAGCTGACAACTTGCACTCAGCAGTGTCCCACAAACAGTCATGGATTGAGTGACCAAATCATTATTATTTTTTTTAAGGGATTTTTATCACCAGAAAAGCGAACCACCAATCGACTAACTACCAGGTTCCCGCTCACTTCTAGGTATCAGCGGTGTATGGAAAGAAACTTGCCCAAGGTTTAGCCCTGCCCGGGAATCGAACCCGGCTCCTCTCGCTTGTGAGGCGAGTGCTCTAACCACTGAGCTACAGCACTTTCTACAGGACTAAATAATGTGAATGCCTACTGAGTACTAATTTACGATCTATAAGTACCATTTCCCTTGTGGAGATTAAAAGCTCTATGTTCCTTCTCCCAGAGTGCACAGACATGTTTTGGCAATCTGATAGATAAGGTGCTCATTGGAACCAGTTAACTCTCCGCCTCCCAACCCCAGCTGTTGACAATCCAGTGATCATCCTGAAAATTACATCCAATGATCAAACTGTTGTTGCATTTATACAGACGTCTTTTATCTCTCCCTGTTTAAAAGTCCCCACCCCCCCCCATACACACACCCACACCTACACACTCACACACGCCCCCACCCCCAACACACTCATACCCCCACCCCCACACGGCTTTAACAAAAAGAAATATGAACCAGTATTGAAGGCTACAGTTTTGATTGTGTTAAAATATATATTAGGATCAGGCTGGACTTCATAATGAATCTAGTTTTTTTCCAGAAAGAATTTCCACAAGGTTGTATGAGACACTGCATGTAAGGGGAATATTCTTTGCACTGTGTGCTTAGGAAAACCTAAATACACACACTCTATTTGTGATATCAAAAGGGAATTGTTCAGCGTTAGTTAGACTATGTGTAACCAGTTTTAATACTGGATTAGTGTAGGAGACTAAAACTAGGACTTCCTGAGTAGAGGCAGAGGTTTAAAATTGTGCTCCTGTTTTTTTAGCCAGCAGGAAATCTTATTTTGTTCTTGTTGTCTTCGAACTATAAACAAAAAGCGTCAGAATTTCTTTTCAAGGGCAAAGGAGGAGCTTTATAGAGAATGTCATTGGCTGCTGATTTATCCTGTCCTATGATCACATCTTTTTTTTAATTACTTTGGGTAGCTAAGATTCACATAGGTTGTCTGATCGTTTTTTTCTTCCTCAAGCTGTAGTCTTGTGGCTTCACAAGAGCCTCCGTGCGATGACAAAAGAATTGTGTGTTATTCAGTCTGCGAGGAATTTTGTCAAGAGTTACCATCAACCACACAACATAGATTAGTCTTTCATGCCTGGTTGATGGTTACGCTACATTGTGAAGTACAGACATGAGCCTGTACGCACGTCGAGTGACATTGCCTGCCATAACTCCTCTTGAACTGCAGAAACGGGTAAGGTAGCCTTTTAGTTTATTTATAATTCGTTCNAAAAAAAACTTATACGTAGAGATAGAAATATCTTTTAACTATTTTGGAACTTTTTTTTAAGTATTTAAAAGATGAGGATGTTTTCAGATGGTGTAAACCCAATAGAGTGTTCTTCTTGTGCTAAATATTACATCCTGTGTTTTTTTTTAAATATGTACTAGAAGTGCTACCTAATGAGAAAATAGCAGCAAATAGAATCCTGAAGCTCAGTGGTTAGAGAGCTCGCCTCACAAGCGAGAGACCTGGGTTCGATTCCCAGCAGGTGAAACCTTGGGGAAGTTTCCTTACTCCACACAGCGCCTAATAGTAATCCCTCCAAAACAAAAAACAATAATAAATTGGTCATTTTCAATCCACGACTGTTTGTGTGACGCTGCTGTGCGCAATTGGCTGCCGCGTTTCGCCCACAAATATACAGTCAATTCACGTTACAGTATATCTTGTGAAGCGCTTTGAGATGTCTTGAAGACATGAAAAACACTATTTCAAATGCAAGGATTATTATTATGATTATTATTATTAAATACTGTTTTGTGGCATAAACTGTTTATAGTCAAATGTTATAAATTCAAATGTTTATAGTTCTTAATTGTCACCAGAAAATGATGCATTCTCTTTAAAAACAGATCATTGATGTAAACCAAGAATGATAGTACAGTACATGATTGAGATTAGGAGCTCCACTTCTAAAGGTTGGCAAAGTAGAGAAGTCCTCCCGACGTGAACGGCACTATATAAATATAGCGTTCTGACGAAGGGTCGTGGACCCGAAACGTTGACTCACTTTCCTCTCTCCATAGATGCTGCCTGACCTGCTGAGTGCTCCCAGCCACTTCTGTTTTTATTTCAGAATTCCAGCATCTGCAGGATTTTGCGTTTTGGCGTTTATAAATATAATTTGTTGTTGTACATTTTAAATAAATGATCACCTTGTAATTTGGAATGATCGGTTGTTTAAATTGGATTTGCTCCCTTCCTTACCCCAACGCTAACCACAATTACCATTATCGTCATCGACCACCACCACAATAACAATTAAAAGGTTAGTGTAAGGACATGAAGATGCTTATCAAACAACAAATGACGTTTACGCAGCGCCATTCAAGTTGGGAGGACGTCCCAAGGTGCTGGACAGTCAGGGATTTGACCCTGCAACACAAGCAATCCTTTTGCAAGGAAATGGAGAGAGAGCGGGGGAGTGGGACTAATTGGAAGGTCTTCCAAAGAGCTGGCGCCAGTACAGTGGGCTGAATGGCCTCCTTCTGTGCTGTAAGGTTCTATGATTCTATAAGCCAACAGGATTGTTGCTGGGTGGATGCCGGTATAGGTGGAAATGAAATGAACGCAATCTCCAAGTGACACAATAATTTGGTGTCGCTGAATATGGAGAGAGGGAAATGTGTCGGTAGAGAAAAGGAAGCCAATGGTGGAGTTATATTAGGCAGATTTTGGTTGTTGGCTTTGAGTTTTACGGAGGAAATTTATTTCATGGTTGAGTGGGATTTTGTTTTTCCAAGCTGCTTAATGTTTCTAAGGACCCAGTTCTTAAAGTACGCAAACCATTTGAAATTGAAATGGATTCAATTTCCAATTTATTTTAAGGAGCCAATCTACCAGTTTTCTCTCTACCAATCCTCTACTCGTAAAAATTATAATTCCTGCACGAGCTGAGGTTCCAGCTTCGAAAATGTGAAGAAAATTAGGTTTTCTGTTGTTTAATAGAGCTTTTTGCTTCTTGCAATCTGAGCCATCAGACAGTTTAGTTCATCATCAGTGCGCAGCTTAGGGGAGAGAAGGTTTGACATTCAGAGCAAAGTAAATAACTCTTAAAAAGGGAGGAGTTCAAGTGTCACAAGAGACTTTTGAGTTTCCTCTTACTGCCAAAACACATTGGTGATAAATGTCTGGATAATTAAATGTCTTTGTCTTAACGCAGAAAAATAACTTTAAAACAAGCACCAAAGTTCATTTTGAAGTTTTTGCTTCTCATGTCTTGCAATCAATTTCTTGAAATAAAAATATAATGTCTAACATGAATGCTATCCTGGAAATGATTTTTATAATTATTTGTATGAAACGTATTCTTGAGAACTAACAATTTGACGTTGGAAACCAGACTATATGTAATAGGATGGTGCATACTAAGCTGTGCACTTACGAATGGTAGACTGAAATATTAGGTCTCTCTTATAAGGGAGTGCCAAAGTTTTAGACGCAAATGTTAGATATGAGTATGATTATCGAGTCTTCACATAGTTTCTGCCCTTTTTATTTTTGTTGTAAAGTTTTTTGTTAGCCAAGAGATGGAAGCTGACTTGTTCAAACCAGATGTATTATTTAATTGCAATGAATATTAATGTTAAGTAAAGGGGAAATGGCTAAAGACACAATTATCTGCTGGCTGTGGTTGGCATTCTTGACACTTAACATTTGCTGAGATAAAATGCTTGTAAACAAAAAGGTTGTATAAATCTACAGACCCTCTTCACAACTTTGACGTTTTTAGTGAACATCAACATTTATCATATGCACTTTCAGGTCAACATCATTGGACAGGAAATGAAACTGGACCTGTATCTTCCACGTGTCATAGACACAGATATGTTGCAGATGTCATTTTAGTTTCATATTTTCTAGAATTGTTTTTGATGTAATCCATATCAAAATGTTTTTTAAAAAAACTTCAATTATCTTTACGAAGAATCCTAAAAAACATCCCCCAAAAAGCTAACTACTGGAAGGAAATGATTTTTAATCCAAATTACTGATGATGTTTAGAACCCCTTGAGGCCTCCATTATACACATATATTGCTGATGTTTCACTCACGTGCTACAAAATTCTATTGGTGGTGAAATATTGTATGTTTTAACATATTAATGCTGTATGTACAGTATGCCTACAAATGTACAGTAAATAATATTACGCTCATAAATATCAATCCTACATAGTCACTTTGTGCAAACAAAGTCTTTCGCTCTTGGAGCACAGTAACATTTTATTATCAGTGTGTCTTTTCTTTTTGTAAGGTTCGCAGTAGTAACGGATCTTTTATATTGGCAATAAAATCTTTGTGGGAGTGTGTCTGGGAGCATTGCATATTGTTCTAGATATTATTTGTGAGAGCGAGCTTTCCTCCTGTTAAAACTAATGCCAGCTGAGATGGTTATGGTTCAGTTGCTCTTTAGGAAGATTTCACACTGGGCTCAGTCGGGTGGGAGTAACGATATTGGGAGGGAGTGGACACTCAGGGACAGAACAACATGTTTTTGAACCTAGCTTTCAAATTAGCAAGACGTTACAAACTGCAAGGCCAACAATTCAGTAGTAAGTTCTCATTCAACAAAGTTGTAAGTATTTTCACACCCAAAAATAATGTTTCTTTATGTTTAAAAAAAAGTATTTTGAGGAAAGACCTTCTCACTATTGGATCATTCCAATCCTGTACACTGATTGACATTAATCCTGATGGTCAAGGCAGCAGCCATATTGGCGCTTAAGAGGACAGTGGATCTGTGTACAACAGGAGACACGTGAAGGGTTTTGGGGAAAAGGCAAGTAAACTGGACTGAAGGGATTGCTCTTTCAGGAGATGAATGACCTTTCTCAGCGTTGTCTAGTTACCACACTCTGACCTGTTACTCATAGCGTCCCCTGTTTGCTGTTCTCCATTTGGCTATTACTGCACTCTAAGTCACACATGCAAACCCCTGCTTTGTTTGCTTGCTTTGGCAGATTCCCGTCATCGTACCTCCCTTTGCCAGTTGCTGTGGTATCAATCCCGCATCTGTGTCTGCTCTGACCCACCCACACTCATGTTTGCTTATTATTCCTCACCAATCACTCTGGCTCCCATGCACATTGCCCCCATTTTAGTTTGCCTCACACTTGTTCTGTGTTTTACCTGGACATTCTTGGCCTTTTCCCCCCTCTTCCTCTGTACCTTCATGCTCTCAAAGTTGACATACGTTATTTTATTTATTCTGTTCAGACACAATGTCATATGAAATGCATAGTTGGCTGCTGCGTTTCGCCCACAAAATACACAGTTGATTCACTTTACAGATATCCTGTGAAGCGCTTTGAGATGTCTCAAAGACATGAAAAAGTGCTATATCACATACAAGGATGATTATATTATTTTTATTATTATTAAACACCTGAACCATTTTTGACTCCTCATCATTGTGGTGTTGGCAGCTGGTGTGGGTAAGTGTTTTTTTATGACTGTAGTGTGTGCGTCTGGTCTGTATGATTTCCGCACAAGTTTAGTGGTTTTGTATCTGAGCTATTTATTTCCCTGGTTGTCCGAGGCTATGGATCCAAGGAGTTTGTTTCCCTTGTGGTTGAGGGAGGTGCCCTGTGCAGCGTCAGTGTTTGCATTTGCTTTCCCAGAGTTTGGATGCAGCGTCTAGATTTGGGGGCAGGGGTATAAGATCAGCAACAACAAATTACATTTGTATAGCGGCCTTCACGTTGGAAAGATATCCCAGGGCGCTGGACAATAGTGGGGTCAGGAGGGATGGAGGGCAGGGAGTGGGGCTAGGAGGGTGGCCGAAGGTACGATCAAAGAGGAAGGTCTTTAGATGGGACTCGAAGGAGGCGAGAGAGGGGCTGAGGTGAGGGGATTGTGGGACAGAGTTCCAGAGTGCAGGGGCAGAGATGCTGAATACCTGACTGCCAATGGTGGGGTGGGAAGTGCGGGGCGAACCTGGTAGGGGGAAAGGACGCAAAAAGAAAAAAGTAAATGTATGAAAAAACCTATTAATCCTTGCTCGAGACACTCAAAGAGGGTTTCACAAATAATATTGAGTGCCCTAGTAGAGGATATTGATTGCAAATAGTACAGCGCAATCTGATTTCATTAAAAATTCTATGTTTTGAATACTGTCCGAGTTGTTAAAGGAACATGGATTTTTTTAATATAAAAATCTTTGATCCAACAGTATTCTTCTTAAAATTCCTATTCGCTCTACCGAATCCTTATTGGAGTCTTAATAATCCTGGCATTTGATATAAAAGAAAATGGAGATCTGGTGGTTGGTTCTGTCGTGTGTAATTCTAAACTACACCTCGGTTTATTGCCAAATGTGTTGCCTCTCCTCTTCTCATGTGAACTTTTCCTCTGGATGATGAATGAGTAATGTGAGCAGTGGAGCTCGCAAGCAGCCAAAGACATCATTAGTGCGAGCGGTTGATTGAGAATCAAAGGAGCCACGCAATGTCGCAAAAAAAAATGCTCCCCGAAGTATCTGTAGGGCTTTTATAACTTTTCATAACATAACTGCAACAAAAATGCCAGAATTTTAAATATAAAATGGTTGGCATTGGGGGTAGTGATATATTGTACATTGTATATGGTGATAGCAGGTAGATTTATGCCCCAATGCTTAGTCACTCATTTCAGTGATGCCGTTTTTGTGACTAGAGACTAGACATTTCTCCCACAGGGTGGAAGTGAAATCATCGTAAAGTGGCTCTCAGGTTCCTTCTAGTAGCTGGTTTCAAAGGATTGTGGAGCCCTGTAGCTCAGTGGTTAGAGCACTCGCCTCGCAAGCCAGAGGACCCGGGTTTGATTCCCAGGTCAGGGCGAAACGTTGGGCAAGTTTCCTTACTCCACACACCTCTGTTTACCAGCAGTAAGTAGGAACCCGGTTGTTAGTTGATTGTTGGATCGCTTTTCTGGGGGTAATAATCTCTTCAAAAAAATAATAATAATAACTTGGTCACTCAATCCACGGCTGTTTGTGGGACGCTACTGTGCACAATTGGCTGCCGCGTTTCACCCTACAAAATATACAGTCATTTCACTTTACAGTATATTCTGTGATGTGCTTTGAGACATCTCGAAGATTGATAAGGCATTGTATCAAATGTAAGGATTATTATTATTATTTTATATTATTATAGATGGGCCAAAGAACCATCATCTTCTTGCAATTTTTTATAATGTCTTTTCTTAAATGTGTCTGTTCCTCGAGTCTCCAGAATATAGAATGCACTTGTATTTTTAGATTTCTTTATTAACCTGAACTGTTTCAAAGTTACTTAACAAGTAATCATTGAGCAAAGGTGAGGATAGTTTTTTGTTGGCAAACACCACATAGCCATTTGCATCAGCAAAGTTATTCAAATAGTCAAGGGATGAATAACTTATTAGTAAGGAGAATTTCCCAAGGTGTGGGGAGAAACTGGCTTGACATTTTGAGGATATTTATCATTAACCAGAGGACAGGCAAATTGGACCTCAGTTTAATGTTTCACCCAAGAACAAGCACCTCTGACAGTGTACAAGTTCTGCGTTAGAGTTCCGTCTTAGAATGTGACCTCGACACCCCAACATGGGATTGCGACCACATTCGCAAAAGTGCTTCTAAACGATCCAAATTGACGTGTGGACACCTGAGTCAATTGGAAATGCAGGTACTGGACACTTTCTGACATAAGAATGTTCTCTGTTCCAGGTCAGAAGTTTCAGAAACTATCCTCATAATTTGTAGTTTGTATTTATTATAAAAGTGGTGCGTAGAATAAAAGAATAAGTCTTTAAAGAAAATGTATATTTAATCTTATTCCATCTTTTTGGGATCATGATGTCTTGACACAATGCACGGATAGATGTCACCTGCTTTATTGGCAGTTGGCTGTAATAATAATAATGATAATACTCCTTGTATTTGATATAATAATACGAATAATCCTTGCATTTGATATAGCGTCGTTACATCTTTGAGATGTCTCAAAGTGCTTCACAGAATACACTGTAAAGTGAATTGACTGTACATATTGTGTAGTCGAAGTGTTAAGTCGTTAAGATCTTCTAATGACAGGTGTGGTAAATCTCCAGGAAGGAGACTAGGGATTTGAATGACAGTTAGGGAAAGGGATTGAGGAAGACGGCTGAATCTCCTGGGTTCTTCTCACTGTTGTTCTCTGCAGTTTTACACCCTTCAGAGATTAAGGTAGCGGTGACAAGCTAACATGATTGACAGAGTTATGCACTTCTCAAAGAACATAAAGACCAAAGTGCACACTCAGCGCTTCCACCGCCTATTTGCCTTCTTCCCGTGAGCATTACCTTGTATCTCTCGCTCCCTCTTGAAGAATAGGAATGAGAATTTCCTAATTACTGCGGCATCAGTTGCACTAAACTAAATATTTCAGCTATAATCAGATATAACAAGTTCCTTCTTTACATATTTTAATTCCACTGAAACGCTTGAAACTTAGATTGCTAAAGCCTTCTCTTTTTGGGTTTGTATTTGAACCGCGAATATAATGATTTGAAGTTGATATACTTTTGTACGGTGGCGTTTTCATAATTGAAGTTCTCTGACTAAATTAAATGTAGCCCAAATTTATAAAGTGTTGACTTGCCACATACATCAGTTTCACTGACTGAGGGATTTTTTTCATGCTGACATTTTTAGACAGAATGAAGGACTTATTTAATCATCCCGTGGCAAGGTTACTCCAGTTACGCTAATTAAAAACTTTTCAGGCAAAGATATGGGTATTGAAGCATTGCGTATTTTGCACCTGATGACAAAATGAGCACTGTTCCTCATGAAATATGATAGCTCTGAGCTTCGGTTTGGCAGAACCGCTGAAATTGAAATGCAGATTGGGACACATTTGGAATTGAGCCTGACTGTATTTCCTGGATCTTCTTGCCACAAGTGGAGTACATTTTAAGTGTAATAATGGACTGTCGTGTTGGGGATATTTGTTGTGCGGAAACCCGTTTATTGGATGAAAGTCGTTGCTGATGCGGCATTTATCGCAGAAAATCCAAAAAAAATCACATTAGTGGTAGCTTCGAGATCAAATTATCTTTTTTGCATATTTTAAAATGCACGTTCGACACCGCAAGAGAAGAGCTTGTGAAAAAGGGGCTTCAGTACTTGTGTTTGGTTTGAAAACAACTATGATTGTAGCAGCTCCTTCAGGTTTTGTGTTGTACATCTCCTCATCAAGTGACTTAAATAGAAGATCATTTAACTCTGTTGAAGATGGTGTCGTAACAGGTGCTAAACCCACACTAGCAAAAATATCGTGACATCATTTCATCTGTATGGACTGCTTTGCCTTGCCTTACCCTTCCTGATCTGGTGATGAAACTGGAGAAAGCACAAAGCCTCGAACAGCAAGTGCCTATTTAATGTTCTCTCTAACTCCACCTCCTCTACCTCCTCGTCAGCCTTAAGGAAAGTTGACCCCATCTAACATTACAATCAGGTCCTGGTTTCGCGATTGTTTGACGAACTCATGCGGTCCACTGTGTGGTAAGCATCCCTGAAAGGCAATACGATGGGGAGGTGGATCACACTCAGTGCTTTCTTTCTCTCAGATAGGTATAAATATGCATCGAGAGCGGTTCAGTTTGTGCTGAGTGTGGGGAAGGTAGGAGGCGATTGGGTAAAATCTCTGATGACAAGTAGCAGGAGAGAGTTGGGAAACTGCCGAACCATCACCTCATCTGAGCTCACTGCAATAGGGAACAGCGCTGAAGTGGATGGAGTACATTCTGATGTATAAATCCAGGTTACCTGCACAGATCATTTTCTGTCTTTGCTATGTACTCATTCCTACATTAATTGCAGAGTTAGTCAGAATATGACACCCTATTTTACTCCATTGTTTGACACCATATCTGCTGGTAAGTATAGAAATCCACTGTAAATCACCTTGAGGAGTAGTGAAATCAGAAGCTTGCTGAGGCTTTTAAAAGATTTAAAGTGTGTTGTTTTTAAAAATCAAGGGTTTGCTTTTTGTTGGTGGACTGAGTGTGTTCAGATTGTTTATTTTTGGCAGGGTGGGGGGAGGGGGAAGCTAGATTTTTATTTTATGAGTTTACCAAGACAATATTAACCCTGTACTTTTGCAAGAATATGTAATTGTATGTGAAAAAAAACAATGCTTCTAGGATGTAAAAATGTGCAGCCTTTCAAGCGCAATTGGCTGCTTTGTTTCGCCCAGAAAATATACACTTAATTCAAGTTACAGTATATTCCATGAAGCGCTTTGAGATGTCTCAGAGACATGATAAGGCTCTGATCAATACAAGGATTATTATTATATAACTTTTTATCATGCGCTCGTTTCCTTTCAGAACCACAAATGCCTATTTTTTTCAACAAGCTTGACATATATCCGACTGTGATATATGAAGCTGATGAGTTCTGTTTGTAAGTACAGTCTTTTCTCTTGCCTTTATCTCTAGGTAATTAAAGTGTTTAATGAGGATGACAGCAGCAGAGCTTTGGAGGTTCCGAGTGACATCACGGCCTGGGACGTTTGCCAGTTGTTCATACTGAAAAATCATTGCGTTAATGACAATAGCTGGACTCTCATTGAGCATCTCCCTCACATCGGCTTAGGTAAGACTACAAATCACAGGCTTACCATGCAAGATGCTTGTGTAAGTGAAGCTATTCTGCAGCAGTATTTTTGTCAAACCACCTCGCTGTTCCAATGGAGGCAGCAAAATCGCTGTCATGTATCTGCAGTTTGTAACATGTGGCTTTTAATGCAAAGGAGACACTTAACTCTAAACTTGTTCTGAATTATGTAAATCATAATTCTGGTTTCCTATAAGAGAGCCAGCGAGCCCTGAATGTGTTGTAATGTTTTGCATTTTACACTGCTTTTCACATGTGATGTGTTATATACCTCAGAAGTACCCACTGTTGGTTAGCCTTTCATCAGGAGCAAAATGCACATTTTAAAATGTTAATTTCCAGGGCTAACTGCAGCTAAACTGCACAGAAGTGGTTTCTACACATTACCAAGCATTCCTTTTCAAGCGTCAAACAGTATAGTATTTTCCGCAGCTTCCCCATGAATAGATAGCTACTCAGGGTTCAATTTTCATACAACTGGTGCCATATTTAAGCAAAATGATCCATTTTCTAGCACCTCTCTACCTCTCTGACCTACTTACTCCCCAACCCACTACCCTCTACCTCTGCTGGACTGGCTCCAGCCTCCTGCTTGTCCCTCGTGCTCTCTGTTTCCCCATTGGTGGCCGCACTTTCAGCCACTACACCCTGAAACTCCGGAACACTCTCCCTCCATCCCTCCGCCTTGCCTGGCTTCCTTCCCCATCTTCAGATCAAGACCTTCCTCGTTGACCATGCCTACGGTCACCTCCCCTGGCCTGGTGTCGTGCTCCACCACTGTCACGTGCTCTGGAACGCTCTCCTGCATGAGGGAAAGCTGTGTAAATGCAAGTTGTTATTCATTACCTTCCTCAAAATCCCACATGCCATTTATAATAATAATAATAATAATATTCCATATTACTGAATGTTAGTTTTCCTCTAAAACCCAGATTGAATAGAGGTGTCCTGCTATTTATTGTGGAATTATCTTTGAAGCTCTAAATTTGACTGCACAAAAGATTTTTTTATTTCAATGTTAAAAGGCAAACTTGCTGTGTTTAATGTTTTCCTTTATCATTTATTATTCATTTTACAATTAGTAGTTAAACAATATATCTTGCTCCCATAGTTATTGATAATAGCTAATATAATCATTCTAGTTAAGTTTTTAAGATGTGAGTGTGTGTGGAGTGGAATAAGGCTGATCAGAGTGCGTTTGCTAATGTTAAGTGGGGGTGTGGGGGTGTGGGGGGGGTTCACTGAGGGAACTATGCCATTTCTTATTTATACATATAAATATAGTTCCATTTGATTATCTAATATACAATATAATGGGAACCAACCTAATGCACTGTCAATGTGATGAACTGAACCTCTTGTGTGCATTGCCGTGTTTTGTTTTCAACATTACTCTCCTCTTGAATATTTGCTAATTAAGGAGTTTGTCTGTATCATTGTTACTTTCAAGCACAAATGCTCTTGGGACATTGATCAGTGGAATCCTCTGAGTGTTAATGTCAGGTGTGGATAGCCCCTGTCCGATGTCAGCCCCTACCCTGTCAATTATTCAATGGTGAAATACCAGAGACCCCTTGATGCTGATTAAATATTGTTCTCCTTTTCAAGATACTGTGCACAATTGGCTGCCCTGTTTCGCCCACGAAATACACGGTCAATTCACTTTACAATGTCCCTTCTGCCCCCAAAACCACCTACACCTTTTTGAATCGAATTAACTGAGAGAAACAGACAAATAACAATCCTGAAGCTAAGTGTGTAACCATTATCCTTTTGTGATTTGTCGCATAGAAAGGATCGTAGAAGATCACGAATCAGTAATTCAGGTGCAGTCGACTTGGGGAATGGACACGGACAGCAGAATATACTTTAGGAAAAACTACGCCAAATATGAATTCTTTAAAAACCCATCAGTAAGTTGGATGAGCTTTCTTGACAGAAAAGCCAACCGGATTGGTTTGTCAAGAGCATTGCATACTTTCTCCAGTTTCATAATGTTGGCTGACGCTGGAATATCTGTCTCGATGGCAAATGCCAACTAGAAGCCAGTCATTTATCCACAAAAAGAGGAAAAAATTCTAACCGGGTCATTATTCTTCAGCAGAGCAGGACAATGTCCAGCTTTCTGTTTCAAAGGTCACAGAAAGTTATGATTCCAACTGTGATCTAACTCAAATATTTCTACCCAAAGTTTGCAACACCCAAATCTGTGTAAAGGTTTTTTCAAACCTTCTCTTGTAAATACTAAAATAATTATTATTATTAATAATAATTATATGTCAAAAAGTAATGCCTAAACAAGAATTCCCAAATGTCTGTTATAATAATACTGTACTCTTTCATGTAAATAGGTATTTTAATATTTGTTTTCATCTTCAGCAGTTTTTTCCAGAACATATGGTTTCCAGTTCCAGTGAAGCAAATGGAAGTCTAAGTCATTCCCAACTCATTCAGGTAAAGGAATTCCCTTTCCAATACACCTTCAACATCATTGTAAAATAAAATCACTTTTAGGATATATTTTGCTCAAATAATTTCTGGTGGGGAGGGAGGGGGGGAGAATTTAATGGATTCTAAGTGTCAAACAAAGTAAAATTATTGCCATGGAAGTGACATGTGATTAACCGTCTTGGATTCTTGTAAAATTTAAAAATAAAAGACACAACATGATTCCGTTATCTTCCTTCACTCTATGTTTTTATTGAACCTAAAAATGTGATTCTTTTTTATTCCTAGAATTTTCTTAATTCAAGCACGTGCCCTGAGATCCACAGCTACCTCCACATTAGGGAGCAGGGAAAGAAGACGTGGAAGAGATATTACTTTATCTTGAGAAGGTCTGGGTTGTATTTCTCTACTAAAGGAACATCTAAGGTGAGACTCTAGCCTCTCTGATTTAATGGCTAAAGATAACATAGTTTTTCTCCTTGTAATTTATATTAATTTATATTTATATGACAGTGGTTAGAGTTCTCGCCTTGGTGTACAGGATTGCATCACAGAGAGGTAAGTCACAGGCAGATGCTTCTATAATTGGCTGCTATCAGAACATTTGGTTAAGGAATTCCCCTGTCGCTCGCTCTTTCAATGGTATTCTCTTTGACCGAGCCTTCAGCTCCCCTCTCGACTCTCTACCCCCTCCTCGCTCCCTCTCTTCCCTCCCCTCACTCTGACCATGTCCCCACTGCTCGGGGACTCCTGGCCCAACTGTCCAGCGACTTGGGACGTCCTCCCGACGTGAAAGGCGCTCTATAAATGGAATCTTGGTGTTGGTGTTGGTAGTATCAACATTGTCATCTCCCGTGGCTCACCGCCACCCATGGTCTTGTGTATCCCTGACGATTGAAAGGCTCCCTTTCGCTTTATTTGCTTTAAATCATGAGATCTATTCGCTGCTCCTGACTCGGCTCCTGGTTGTGACACCGAGCAGCTGGGGAGCTTCACTGGACCTTGTTTTCTTTTGTATAGATTGTGGGGGGGAGAGAGCGAGAGAGACTCTATGCTCTAACGTTGCCGATCACCATGATCGTGGTTGGCTGAGAGTTTGTTTTCATAGGTGTCAAGAGGTTCATTTCCCGCTTGTTAAACGGCTAAACTGTTATAATTGCTGGTCTGCTGTGATTGTTTCCAGATTGTCCCATAAACCACATGATTCGGGAGTAACGTTTGACTGCTTAGAGGAGACCTCAATGTCCATAAATTCTTTGCCTGACTTGACAAATAGGTTGGTCACAGGCTTGTGTTGTTGATGCCCAAACAGTGTGTTTCGTGCACTAAGGCTACACTACAGATTACTTCTAGTGAAGCTTTTATTTTGTTTGGTATTTACGTTTTCATCTTGATTCAGGCAATTCTGGACAGATCGTCCTAAAGTTAATACCAATGTTATTAATAAATAAATAATCCTTTAGTATAGCGTCTTAATATTGCACTCATTTGAGACGTCTCAAAGCACTTCACAGAATATATTGTGAAGTGTAGTGACTGTGCATTTTGTGGGCAAAACGCGGCAGCCAATTGCGCATGGCAGCGCCCCACAAACAGTCGCGGATTGAAGTGACCAAATTATTGTTTTTTTTTTATTTTATTTAATTATTAACATTTCTACTGCCCGCAATTACATTAAAGGTCGTGTCCATTTCTGAAACGTGCAAAATCCAACAAGAGGGCAAGGGTTAAAACTTCATCAGTTCATTTTTGGGGGAGTAAAACTGCCTTTGCACATTTTTTAAACATTAAAATAAAATATTTTGCAGTACTGTGCAGTATTGCTTTTTTAAAAAGAAAATCTCGTTTACTGTTCCTGTGTTGAATTTTGGAGAACTGTTAGATGTAACCTTTCGCTGTGTTTTGGGCTGCCCTTCCCGGCACACACACACAGATGGTGAATTAAGTGATTGTCACAATGCGAGGCGGTTTGCCAGCACATTGGGGCTTTAACACAAAGAGGCGATTGTTGATTGACTGTTCTTCCATTACAACGCTGATGTCAAAGCAGCAGTTTGTGGCACTGTAGATTTTATCCGAGGTGCTCAAGAGCATTAGCTGCGAAGGAATGTGAACCAACTGGAAACCCTGGAAGTGTTTGATATTCTATTTTGATCCCTAGCGACGAATAAAGCACGCAATTAAGCTTGCACGAAAATGGCCCTATAACTTTGTAAGGTCAAAGCACCAGCCTGAAATCTTAGCATAATTGGTGACATTTCAATCAAGTGCTAACGTAGTAGTAAAGGCTGTGGAATGGAACATCGATGAATTTATAGCATTTGACACAAACTTATTTTTCAAAAATTAAATTGTTATCTGAAAAACGCTTTAGCTGTGCTGCATCTCAGAGACAAGCAGCAAGAAGCTCGTATGAATTCTGAATTATTTATTTATTATATCGACAACGAGACATGGTTCTGCCTTTTGTTGCTGTCCAGTGAATTCTGCTGACAAGTGCATGCATGTGATATAGGGTGATCTTGTATCATCTCTGATGTGCCTTGCGGACTTGCCTCAAACGCAAGAGGAACCGGGCTCAATCCCCAGACAGGGTGAAACCTTTCTTTACTCCACACACCTTTGGTTACCTAGCAGTAAGTAGGAACCCTGTTGCTTGTCAATTGGTTTCCGGGGATAATAGTCCCTTCAAAAAAATTGGGCACTCTATCCACGGCAGTTTGTGGGGACGCTGCTGTGTGCAATTGGCTGCCACATTTCGCCCACAAAATATACAGTCAATTCACTTTACAGTGTATTCCGTGAAGCACTTTGAGACGTATCAAAGACGTGATAAGGCGCTGTATCTAATGCAAGGATTATTACTATTAATTATACCCAATGACAATGACAGACAGTGAAAGAGTGCTTTTTAAAAAAATGTGAGCGGGGACAATAATGACAGGAAATAAATAGGATTTGCGATGTTTATTTTTGAGCAGAAATTACTGAAATATAATTTTAAAAATTCAGAGCTTGTATAGATAGCTTCCAACTGTCCTGCTGTCTTTTCAGTAACATTCACATTTAATTGGCGTTCTGACTTTGGTTAGTTAGGCACTGTGGAAGCTGGTGCAATGCACAGTTGGGAGCGTAACTTTGAGTTAGTGTACTGCAGGTGGTACTTTGACAGTACTGTACTTGTATTGTAACTGAATCATTAGTCAGTGTCAAGAGCAGACATGTAAAAGTGTGAATTCTGTCAATGTCCATTTCACACCAACGTGCAGAATCCTTTTCGTATCGATTATTGATTACTTGTGCCAGGAAATTACTGGCTAATAATAGAAAACTTGTTACTCATTTTTAGTTCATCCAATCCATACCAAGCCTACAACCTGTTTGCATAATGCTTCCTGCTTTACATCTCATTAGCAAACGAGAAGTACTGCACAGTGATTTCACGCAGTTAAACTAATTTATCAAGTTGAGCACTGCGTTTGGGAAGAGTATTTTGATGTATAAACTGAATTACATTGAAAATGAGACTTGTGTGAAGCTGCACTGCAGTATTAAGCCCCTGAATTCACAATTCAACAACTTTGTTGTTCCCCTTTCGTCCAATTTATTCAAGAAATAAACCCCTATTTTAAATAAGCATAAATTATTTGGGTAATTTTTACAAGTAAATTGAGGCAAATGCAAAAAGAGGCATGATATTGGATCAAGCAGCTCACTTCTTTTTGCCTTTAAAGCTAATTTACAATCTAATGTATTCGCACCTACCTAGAGAGTGAGCAGAATTCTTTGTAGCTGTGTTAATTCTAGTTTAAAAATTAGAAAATATTTGAATATATTCAAGCAGATTCAAATATTAATGTAGGCTGACCACCAGCAGTGGACACCAGAATTATTTTCTGATCAATTATTAATCCATTGAACAGCAATAGTGCAATCTAACGCTATCATCTTCCCAGTTTTCTACCATTGTCATTGTAAATTACAAGCTCCAATCCCTCAAATATACATCTGGGTTGTATCCCGGGCGGGGTGAAACCTTAGGCAAGTTTCCTTACTCCACACCCGTCTGGTTACCAGCAGTAAGTAGGAACCCTGTTGTTAGTCGATTGGCAGATCCCTTTCCGGGGTTAATAAACCCTTCCAAAAAAAAATACTAAATGTGGTCACTCAACCCACGGCTGTGAAACTGTAGTCCATCCAATGAGAGATAGTGACTTCAGGAGAAAATTGGTGACATTTGGAGAGACGACTGCTTAGCGTTGCATTGATTAACTTACCAAAGTTGTTTAGAACATATTTCGGAATTACATTACTCTGTACGTGTACATTTTAAAGACATTAATTATTAACAGTGTGGTGACCTTGACTAGTTTATTTCAACTGTCCAGTATATTCTTACACAACATTAGGACATGAACATATGAATTAAAAGAATTTGTGCAGAGGAAGGTTTTTGTGTTCTGAGAAAACAAAGAATGGTTTATACCTGTATTAATACACATAACCTTCAATGGTAATCATGAGGTACAAAAACTGACAACACTATAATCTTAACCTTCAAAGCTTATCTGATCAGCGAGTTACATAAAACAAGGGTGAGATGTGTTTTCAAAAGTTACAAATGTGTTTGTTTACTGTTGGTCAAATTTTTCCATGAAGGTTTTGTATTTATCATTAACTGCTATAAACTACACATTGAAGTTTCCTTATTTACAGTCACTTCTGCTGTGTTTGCATTCATCAGTAAAGCACTTGTCATTAATATTTCCCCCCCCTCTCCCCCCCCACCACAATCTGACACCGTTCTCAATAGCTGCACTAGAAAGCTTGCACAAGCTGTGGTTGATTTGTTTAGAATTCTGTCTTGTAGCGTTTCACTGCTCATTAGTGGGGGAAACTAGTTTAAGTCAACAAAAAATAGTGTCAATTAGCACATCACATCACATCACACAATGTACGTTTCACCCCTTTGTTTATTTTTAGCATTTGAGAGACTAGTTAAGCGACTAAGTGTACCTTAATATGGATCACTGCCTTTCACTGACAGACACCCGTTCAATGTCAGTGTTTCTTGAAATGTTCAGCTGAAAAGAAAACATAGAAAGTATTCACCACATAATTCTAAGTTAAAAGCTGCACCGACTATTGTAGGTTTCTCAAAAAAGCCGGAAACAAAATGGAAGCGGCTTATTTTCAATAACTCGAGGTTTAATTTTTGTGTGTTTGCGTTCCAAAGAACATTCAAAACTTATTGTTACTAATTTGTTTAAATCCTGGAACCTAACTTGCTTCTGGCAGGAAACCCTTACTTCAAAAATAGCAATGAAATGTTTTTGACTTTATAAAGCATTATTGTCTTTAGGCTAATGCGATACATACACCTAATGTGTTAGAAATGGTGTATCAATGTAGTGTTTACTTGTGTGATTACCAGATAAACAACATGCATTTTCAAGACTGAGGTGGATAGAGTTTTGTTAGGGTATTGAGGGAAACGGGGCAAGGATGGGTAATTGGAGTCGAGGTACAGATCAGCCATGATCTGATAGAATGGCGGAACAGGCTCGAGGGACTGAATGGCCTCCTCCTGTTTCTATGTCCCTATTTACAACGACTCATCATTCTATAAATAGAAAACATTTGTTGAATTGGAAAATAAAGTTCATCATTAAGCTTCAATCACTAGTCCAGCCACATCGCAAACTAAAACCTAATCGTTGCCCTAAAGGGAATACTTGTGAGATAGTCACAACATTGATTTGCCAGCAATTACACGAGTCTTGTCTGTGTACTGTCTGCTCTGTGGAATTCATAATACCTGACTATTTTTATGTCACCATTTCAGGAACCAAGACATTTACAGTTTGTGGCTGAATTCAGTGAAAGCAATGTTTACACACTGGTATCCAGCAAGAAGATGTATGGAGCACCGACTATTTATGGATTCTGTATCAAGGTACAGGCTCGATTTTAGATATATCTCTATTATAGTGGTTTGTTTTGTTAAATTATGTTTTTTTTAATACAACCATGGATTGTAATATTTTTTCGTATTTAATCAATTGTAAAGGGTTGTAGCGTTTACTTTGCACGTGAAATTTGTGTTGAGGGATGGAATGCAATTTGATGGTTGATTGTATTTTACCAGGTTCCAGAAAATACTTTTTAATGGAGAATCAGAATGTTTATAGAAATACACTGGGGGTTGTGTAGTAATAGTAATAATAATAATATAATAATAATAATAATCCTTGCATTTGATACAGAGCCTTATCACGTCTTCGAGACGTCTAAAGCGCTTCACAGAATGCATTGTAAAGTGAATTAACTGTATATTTGTAGGCGAAATGCAGCAGCCAATTGCACACAGCAATGTCCCACAGTTGTGGATTGAGTGACCAAATTATTATTGGCAAAATCTTCTAAACATAATACCACGCTTGAATGTAGGAGAACTTTAGTGGCCTTTATTCCAACAGGTATTATCAGCAAGGTATGCATTAATCATAATGCATATCTTTCCAGCCTCACAAACTGGAAGGTACCAGAGACTTGAAGTTGCTTTGTGCAGATGATGAACAGAGTAGAATCTGCTGGATGACAGTGATTCGTATTTTTAAGGTAATCATTTCTGCATATTTTTTTTTAAAAATCCTGTTTGAAATCTTGTGAAGCATTTATTGATTTATTTAAAAATTAATAAAGATGATAGTTTTTTGAAAAAAAATCTCCGGTATATCTCCAGATTATTCATCATGTTACAATTTATCTAAAACAAAGGTTATTTTTATAACGTGTTTTACAAGTATAGTGCTTTACATATCATCAGGTTATTCAGTGCAAGAATTGTTTTCTGTGAATGGTGTTGTATCTCTGTAACTCTCTCCCTCAATCGCTCCCCACTTTCAAATACCAACTTCCTTTCTGATCGTGCTTACGGTCACCTCCCTCCCCCCCTCCCTCTCCCCCCTGGATCAGGGTCAGACTCCGCCACTATTTAAGCGCTCCGGGAAACTATCCCATGTGAAGGGTGCTGTGTAAATACAAGTTGTTGTTGTTACTTTCTGTGAATGGCGCTGTATCACTGAAAGTTTGTGATCCGTTGTATTATTTCCTTCATCATTTTGTTTTTGAAAATATATGTCTATTTCACAGTCTGGGATACAACTGTATGAAAACTCCAAACCACCACAGCAACGGAGAAATAGCCTAACATCGCTGAACACACCACTCAACACATCGCCAATGGTATAGAAGATTTCACTAAGTAAAACTGACGTAACGGAGAACTAGAGATATTTAGTTACCTGCTGGAAATATTTCTGTAAATTCATTAGATGAATATTTCTAAACCTGTTCAAAATTCCCTCTTAATCTTGCGCGGGAATGCATTCAATGCAATGCAATCCTTTTATCTCCGCTTGGTAAAGATTGAGGTGTTTGAGGTGAAGAGTTAGAGGTTATAATCCTTGTGCAAACTCATTTGTTTGAACTCCCCATTAATGTAAGATGTTTCTGCTTTCAGCCCTTTATTGTGTAAACATCCTGCAAAAATGTGTCAGTTGTACATTATAGATTAAACGTTAGGCAAGTTTCCTTTCCTTTCCTTACGCTTCTGTTCCTACTAGCAACAAGTAGGAACCCAGTTGTTAGTTGATTTGCAGATCGCTTTTCTTGGGTTAATGGGGTCCCAGCGCTTTGGGACATCCTCCCGACGCTCTATAAATATAATTTTGTTGTTGTTGTTGTTAATAATCCCCTTAAAAAAATTTCACGACTGTTTGTGGGACGCTGCTGTGCACAATTGGCTGCTGAGTTTCACTCACAAAATATAAGGGCAATTCACTTGACAGTGTTTTGTGAGAAGCGCTTTGAGACATCTCGAAGATGTGATAAGGCGCTATATCAAATGCAAGGATTATTATTAATGTTAAAATAATTTGTTTCCCCTTCACAGAGGAGCAACTCAGAGAATTCCCTGGTGGCTATGGATTTCTCTGGGCACAAGGGCAGGGTCATTGAAAACCCTGCAGAAGCACTTACGGTGGCTGTTGAGGAAGGAATGACATGGAGGGTAAATCATTGGTTTACATTGAGTCCAATAAACCTTCTCTAACTTGTCTGTTTTATGGAAAGCAATGCAATTAAAGTAATCAAACGTATGTGTGGTTATCTGTTAAATTCCATTCTTGTAATTAATCACCAATAATAATAAGTATGACAAATATCAATGGTAGACAGCGCCTTCAATGGCAAGCTGTGTGGGTTTAGCTGGTTAGACTCCAGCAGTTACCCCAACCCACACTCTGGGGTCCCCAAGCCTTGGTTCTTGCCGACATACGCCTAATACTATCATTTACTGACTACTACAATACCAATACTGCACTACGACAAATCTGGAATTTACCTAACTAATGTTATTGCCCAACCGTTGTTCTCTATAAACAGAGGAAAAGCTGTCATCGTATGAATGCCTATGGAAGTCCCAACCTGCTGCAGAATCCTACTCCATTTCCAGGTTGTCTTTCATGTTTTTGTTAGAATTTAGATGTGAAAATGCATAACTTAGGTCGAAACCTTCATCTACTTGTTGAACCAAATATGTGATAACTGTTCCTTTATAGAATGCAGTCACTCGTCTATTTATGAGTAGAAATTGGTAAATAGTCTAAAACTAAAGATTGTTGATTGTAAACAACAAATACTACAAATACGGCTATGATGAGGCACAATATACTAAATGTTGATATCTATCCTCATCACATAAGGATGGGAGCGGAGGGGGAGGTTAGTATAGACTGTACAATGGAATCGGATCCAAATCCCTGACTGTTCAGCGCCTTGGGATGTCCTCCCGACGTGAAACACACTGTGTGTGTAAATGTCATTCCTTGTTATTATTATAATAAAATGTTAAGAATTGCCATGCTTGTAGAAATTTTTTGCTTTAACTTTTCAATTTAGCTATTCACAGGATCCAGTCTTGGTTTCATCACCGAATCTCCCGAGACGAAGCACAAAAGTTAATAGAGCAACAAGGCCTCGTTGATGGGTGAGATTTATCTTTAAAAGGACTTCCTTTAGCAATAAGGAATCTATCTATCTCAGTATTGAATATGTTCAAGGACTGAGCGTCAACAGCCCTTTGGGGTAGTGAGTTCCATACATTCACTGCCCTTTGAGTGAAGAAGTTCTTCCTCAACTCAGTGCGAAAGGGTTGGCCTCTGATTTTAAGGCTGTGACCCCTGGTTTTAGTTTCTCCAACCGGGGGAAACAATCTCCCACTATCTACTCTATCATACCCTTTGATGATCTTGTAGGTTTCTATAAGATCTCCTCTAATTCTTCTATATTCTAGAGAATATAGGCCCAAATTGGTCAGCCTATCCTCGTAACTCATCCCCTTCATCCCTGGTACTAACCTAGTAAATCTACGCTGCACCCCCTCCATGGCAAGTACATCCTTCCCTAAATAATAATTTGATCACTCAATCCACGATACCCCTGTGCGCAAATGGCTGCCGCGTTTCGCCCACAAAATATACAAAAATACGATACTTGCATTGAAGTGTTATTGTTTCACTTAAGATGTCATTTGAATGAGAAGGCAAGTAAAAGTTGGATTGGAAATAACAAAATTATCCAAAAATTCATGTAGACTTTTTCTTTCTCCCCATGTAGGATATTCTTACTGAGGGACAGTCAAAGTAATCCTAAAACATTTGTCTTGTCACTGGGCCACAGTCAGAGAATAAGGCATTTTCAGATTGTTCCGGTAAGCAATTAAAAATTCAAAGTAATTGTTTGCGATTGATGTACTGATTCAGGAGCTTTACCAAACTGTGCAAAACGCACCATTGTTTGAATTGCAATATGTAAATAAATGGGGGTATTTATTGTCTCATATCACTCGTAATTGTGTTCTGTTCGCATTTCTGTTGACAATGCAGAATAAGGTCAAGTGAATGATCAAATTGAGTGCTGTACAAAAGCTATATGTTGGTCGTAACATTATCCTCTTCAGAACTGTCTCATATCTGCTATGTAACTAATGCAGCTGGAAGAAGATGGAGACTTGTATTATTCCCTGGATGAGGGTCAGACCAGATTTACTAATCTTATCCAACTTGTGGAGTTTCACCAACTCAACAAAGGAGTGCTCCCCTGCAAGCTGAAACACCACTGTGCTCGAATTACACTTTAATCTCGGACACCATCAGTCCATCTGGAGTTTGTGAATAATGAAAGCAAAGTGGGGCTTCCACACAAACACACCGTGACTGTGAAAGAGTATTTGTGGTGACCGAGCGAACATTGTTGTCACTGAAGTTGGGACGGTCGAATTGATCGAAGTCAGAACTTGTTTTGCTGATGTTGTCTATTCCAATTCAAATGTGTGGAATGAATCAGTGTTGAATTATTGCTCCTCTCAATGCCAGCATTACAAGGACAAAATAAATGTGGAATTTGTAAAAAGAAAACAACTACAATGCTCAAGGAAAAAATTTTGATCAACAGATCAACAGAATTATTTTTAGGCCAACAATTGGCCATTCATCGCAATGTAATCACATGCTAGGACTAACTGAAACACATCAATTGGCCAGAGATTTTATTTTTCAAAAAGTTGAACTTAACACTGACGCCAGTTGCAATGGAAAATCTGCTTTGGAAATATTTGAAATGAAAAAAAAGAGAGGAATTGTGCAGATTCACAAACTGCATTCACCATCGCTCTCTCAAATAGAGGATAAAACCTGCAGAATTGTGACTATTGTATTGTAAGTGGAGATGGACTGTATGTCTGAAGACACACGACTGCAATTTGTAAAAAGATTCGACTTAATTTTGCACAATGAATTTTAAATGTCGGAATTTTCCAAATGTTTTGGATCGAATAGTTTCTAAGATTTATTTTAAGTACGCTCGAAAATAACATTAATTATCACTTAAAATAAGTTGATGGTCCAATATTGTTGTTCTTAGTAAAGAATATATCAAAATATGAATTGCACTGTAATAGTGACACTGGCATTTTTCACTGCTACCAAATCATTACAATATTTTCCACTTATCAAACTTGCATTCTATGCTTTATGGTTGGTTGTTGTAATACATTTTGTTATATTAAAAAAACAGTGACCGAACAATACAGACTTTTTTTTCAATGTAATCTTTAAATCCTTGCCATCAGTAATGTTGGATTGAGAATTGGCTTCACTGGCTTTTGAAATTAAGATAACAACATGTTTTGAAAGTGAAGCAGTCGGTATATTCAGCTTTCACAATGAGTATTGAAAAGATTTGCTGTAAACCCAAATATTTTCATGTATTAAAACATTTTGTGTTTCATTCACTTTCATGTTTATTATGTTTATACAAACTTGCGCTTCACCAGAACAACAATAACTTGCATTTATACAGCACCCTTCACTCTGTATATTTACAGTATATTCTGTGAAGTGTTTTGAGACATCTTGAAGATGACGTGATAAGGCGCTATATCAAATGCAAGGATTATTATTTTTATTCTTATTCTTGTTGTAAGTGGCAAAGTCCCAAATGAATTAAGTCATAAAAGTAGTAATTTTACACTGTTATAATTTCTTGCTTTTTTCTATTGTTCCTGCTAATTTGAATGGTGACACATGACAAACATTACTGTGGAGTTATAAGTTAGAGCACAAGACAGTTCTGGATGAAGAAAGCCATTTGGCCTGTGTGTTGTCATCTTTCCAAAACACCTCCCCTTTCTGCCACAGTATTAAGTTGTTTTTGAACGAGTTGAATTATCCCGGTCACTTCTGTCCTCTCTGGTAACTAGATCCAGCTGTTGATTATCCTCTATGTAAAGAGACACTTCCTCCTCTCTCTCTCTCTCTCTCTCATAAACTTGTTCTTCACAAACTACCCATTGCCCCTTGTCCTACTGCTTTGGCATGTCTGAGATTGTTGTTTGGGTTTATTTTCTCTGTAGGATTGTATGTACAGCGCCTCTAAACGGTCTCTTTCTGTCATCTCTCCAATGTGGAGCGATTCATTGTGGATAAAGATAAAATAATGAAGGAGCAAAGAAAGACAAAGAGTACGTGAATAGTCAAACAGTTGTACTCCACGGTTAAGGAATTGATTTGCTATTGTGCACATATTGATGAAGTTGATAGCCTAGTGTTTCATGTCAAAAACACAAATAATCAGGAAGAAAGGACATAAGATGGATAAGTGCATCTTATCAGAAAGAATCATCAAAAACAGACAAACTTGTTGAGTCTAATTAGCCTTTGCCTATCCCCCAAAGACCTTGTGCTCCAGTTCTAACATTTAGAAAAACAAAATGCTGAGATTTGCATCGGATTTGTCAGCGTCTGAAATAGCTAAGTTTAACTTTTTCAGTTTTTTCCCTTATCAGAAACTTGTCCAGCAGGAATCTCAGCTCATGCTCATTACTTTTCTACATGAACCCGGTTGTTAGTCGATTTGCAGATCTTTTTTCCGGGGGTAATAATCCTTTACAACATTTTAAAAAAGAATAATAACTTAGTCACTCAATCCACCACTGTTTATACAACACTGCTGTGCGCAATTGGCCACCGCATTGAGTATGTTTACATTTTCCCCCATTGAATATGATTAATCTGGCAGGGCTGTTAAGTGTAGCTATTTAAACTTCTCCTTGGGATTAGATTACTTGACAAGTAATATACAGCAATTTGACCTCTGTGTTGAATGAGTTGATGTCTGTTTAGTGTGACTGATCATGTCCTCTGAACACATTTTGCCCACAAAATACACAATGAATTCACTTTACAATATATTCTGTGAAGCGCTTCGAGACGTCTCGAAGACGTGATAAGACGTTATATCAAATGCAAGAATTATTATTATTATATCCTGTCCATGAGGCTTATAGTTGCTGTACATTGGAAACTTGTCCTGTGTTCTTGCACCACCTAGTGGGTTGGAGCAACATATTGCAATGTTGTTTTATTGAAAGGTTTGTGGTATTTATTCCTCTTTGTATAGATACTGTATTTATTTCCAGAGTTGTAACATTTATTACTCAAGAACATTAGTCATAATTGTTAGCTTCTTATCTTCTTATCTACAATGCACAATGCAATCCAATACATCTTATCAGCCCTTTTCAATGCTGTTAACATGTATAATAATAACGTTAGGCAAGTTTCCTTACTCGACAAATTGGTGGATCGTTTTTCTGGGGGTAATAAGCCCTTCAAAAGAAAATAATAATAATTTGGTCACTCAATCCACGACTGTTTGTGGGACGCTGCTGTGCACAATTGGCTGACGCGTTTCGCCCAAAAAATTAACAGTTCAATTCACTTTACAGTATATTCTGTGAAGCGCTTTGAGACGTCTCAACAACGTGATAAGGCGCTGTATCAAATGCAAGGATTATTATTATGGTTATAGTTTTCCTCATTTGTGGAATATTTCACTCTTGTTTGTACATCTTTTGTTTTCACGAAAATTTGACTTGTTTAAATATGACTAAAATAAAAGTATGGAGTAATGTGTAACTCTACAGTTAATATTGTTTCACTATTAATTGTTGGACTCTAGGTAGCAGTAGTGTGTCGTGCAGAATATTAAGTGGCATAAGCTCGGAGCCAGTGTTGCTTTCCTTGAGATCTCAAAATAATGCAGATTTAAATCTATGTCCTTATATAGTACCTTCACAGCCACCAGTACTCTTCTCACTTATATAAATTATTCACAGCTTTGTACCAATTAGTTCCATCAGTTGCAAGGTTTGCTCTCAAGCTGAGGCTTCAAGAAATGAACCTCGTATGACAAATGATTAAAATTTAATTCGCATGAATATATCGGCTGATTTTGATAACTCGAGATTGCTAGATTTCATCAAATTAAATTTTAAAAATACAAAAAGCAGCGTGTTGATTTCTTTTTTTGGAGGGGATGGATTTGCCACCAAATAGTCACTTCACTTCTCGGTAATTACCTGTGAAGTGGTTTGAGAGGTTTCTGAGTGGCAAAAGCACTATAAAAATTCAAGATCTTTCTTTCTTGTAAGAGGTTTCTCAACACTGGGAAGTTGTGTACTTTTCTCATTTTTGGCACTTAATGGCACTGTTCAGAATTTCCAGGGCGAGAATAGATATCCTCAATGCAAGGAAACCTCCACTTACTTTTGCCCAGTAATGCTAATGGTGCCATGAACTTCGATGCGATTCCCATGTCAGGGAAAAACGTTAGGCAAGTTTCCTTACTCCACACGCCTCTGTTTACCAGCAGTGAGTAGGAACCCGGTTGTTAGTCTATTGGCGGATCGCTTTTCTGGGGGTAATAATCCCTTCAAAAAAAATAATAATTCGGCCGCTCAATCCCCGACTGTTTGTGTGACGCTGCTGTGCGCAATTGGCTGCCGTGTTTCGCCCACAAAATATACAGTTAATTCACTTCACAGTGTAACTTGTGAAGCGCTTTGAGCCGTCTCAAAGACGTGATAAGGCACTGTATCAAATGCTAGGATTAGTATTATGATGATATATTGTTATTCTTTCAAAAACTTGTCGAAAGAGCATTTCCTTGCGAGACCTTGTCAGGATATGCAATGACAATGCTGATTCTGCTCTATCACAGATCATGCCCAGTCACCAGAGCAATGATAAAACTGTCAATGTTACCCCTTCAATTTGTTGTCGATTTCAATGTGGATGTGCATCGCTGTGCATGTGCCGTGTGCAATATGTGTGTATTATATCAATCGAATCGAATGGCAAAAATTTTTAATCCACTTTTAATTGAATTGAATGAATATACCCACATCTGTTCTTGCATGTGAACTCTTCAGTTTCATTGTGTAGTAGAGAGAAGGTTTCAAGGCTGCCCATGGATGCTATTTTCTACGGCTTATTTCCACAGTGTATTACTTTTGAATTAAGTTTTTTTTAGAATAAATAATTCATTCTAATTGTGAATTATGAGGACAGAGGGACTGTAATACTTCCCCTTATTCCAAGTGAGCTGCCTCTTGCTGTTCTCTGGAGAGCACTGTCCACCGTCTTAAAAATTCCCTTGGTGGGCAGTTCAGCTAAAAATAATTAGGGGCAAGAACAGAAATGTAAATGTAATATGTAAATGCAGTGCAATGTTTTGCTTTTTTTGTATTACAGCTAGTTAAAACTTCAAGCTCCATGACTTTTTGCTCCTCTAAACATTTTTTTAAAAATGGTAACTCGAGTTAAAGATCGTAGAAACACAATCTTCTCTGGAATCGTTCGCCACTTAGTTGAAGCAGCGAGAGTGGTATACAACTGGAATTAAAAACAGGCCGTCTCCATGGCCCAACAGACGTGCAAAGACTGGTGCGCGCGTGTGTGTGTGTGAGAGAGAGAGTCTGGGTGTGTGAGAGTATATGAGTCTGTGTGCGTGTGTGTTTGTGTGAGAATGTGATATTAAGTGTGTGTATGTGTGAGCGTAAGGACTTGCACACTCACAGAGAATCACTTTTATTGAGCTGCTGAGAAGCAGTGCTGGTGAAATCATATTTGCTTTAGGTCACTCTTATAAAATTATTCATTGGTACAATAAGTCATGGAGTTGGAAACTAAAAGTAACTGTGACAGTGTAATTATATGACTCATAAATGAAATGAACCATTCAATCTTACTTGAATTCAGTGACTCGTAGGAAAACGACTAATACAAAACAATCCGCTATTGTATCATGATAATAATAATCCTTGCGTTTGATATAGTGCCTTATCCCGTTGTTGAAACGTCTCAAAACGCTTCACAAGATATAGTGTAAAGTGAATTGACTGTATTGTTGGGTGAAACACAGCAGCCAATTTGAAATCATACATTTAATTTAATTTCATACATTTCACCAGTTGTTTGGTCTTTCATGTGCACCGTTAGCACTGAATCTTTAAACCAATATGTTTTGCTTTAGTAAAATATTACTTTGAACTTAAGTGAAAAAGTCCTTCTTTTGCTAGGTATCGTGTATGTTTCAGTATTAAGCAGCTTTTAACCTTATGATATGGTGACATGTTTGTCATTGCAAAGTCAGTGAGTGAGTGACTTTGCAATGACAAACATTTCACCCTATCATTTCAAGCCACATTTATTTGAGCGACAAGTTAATTTCAAATCAGCAGAAGAGTTTCCTTTTTATTATCTGTCGTCCATTTTGATTAAGGAATTAGAATGAACATGTTGATGAGTCGAAGGCCTAAATATCAGCCTATTCTCAGACCACCTCTGATGTTTCCAGTTCATTAACCACCTTTTTGTGTGTCTGTAAATCCCTGGAAGAGTCTAACTAGTTTCCAATAGTTTGGGCGACCTGATACTTTCACGATCGTCA